TCCCTGAATGAAATGGACTCACTGAGGACAGGTAGACACCCAAGTTATAGAATAGGTACAAGATCTGCTTAATGTAAAATAAAGACAACAGAATCTATCTTGCAGGGATTTGGGCAGACTGAAGTGTTATCATGTATAAATTGCCTAAATCACCATGGATATTTAATATAGTTCCTACAACTATGTTTATGGCTTCTAATGAATTTAATATTTTTTAAGTGTATTTCATTCAGGACAGAGAGGGAGTGAGTCCTTTAACAGGGTCTTAGCATGCTATGATCTCCTTTCACCAGCACTCCAGTTTGTCAGATCTTGGATACAGGAAAACCTTCTGAGTGCCCTACGTGTTTTCAAAATGACTCAGTTATGTGAATCCACAGTCAGCCACATACAGTTCAAGTTGCTAGTGACTTTTCTACCAGGTCTGGCTACATTTAAATTGTTTAAAGGTGGGGGTTGAATAGTGTATCTGTGCATTCTTTCTAATATTTGACTTCATGATTCCCATGATAGATGGTCAAAAATGCTTGTGAGGGACCAGCAGATGGCATAATGGCTATATCGCTGGACTCCCATGTTGTCAACTGCGGTTCGAGTCCCAGACCCGGTGGCTTAAACTCATTCTGGGTGCATGTGCATGCATGCCCAAGATCCTGAGAGGATAATGGAGGAGAAGGGATTGGCCATTCCCCCTTGGGGGGTGATTTCTTGCTTTTTGTCTCTATGTCTCTCTTTGTCTTTCTGGCGTGCACACATGCCCTCTAGGAAAAACCTCTCCAAAAAAAAAAATGCTTGTGAAACAATGACAACAACAAACGGGTGAGACACTTTTAGAAATGATTCAAGATGATTGAATCTAGTGGAGTCATATCAGTGCTTCAGACTGTCCTTCTTTGTGTAGTTCACGTCGGGAGCAGGTACTAAGCTGTTTGTGCCTGCTTATTTATTTATACCATGTCCCATTTTTAAAAGGACACAAGTGGATAGAGCTCACATCAGAAGGTCCTTGTTAATTTTTATCTTTGACAGCTGCAAACTGAAGTTGTGGAATACAAAGACTCCCTAACAGAAATTTTAATTATTGTGCGTTATAGTCTATTGTATATTATCTCTGCAAGAAGGCCTGAGGTGTTGATTTCTTTCCAAACTGGAGAGGAACAGTTGCTTTGGAGGATTAGCTAATGTCATCTAATATAGTCATATGATTTTCTGCTATTAATAATCAAGTGTCTGGGAAGGACTCCTGAAGTAATTATTAAAAGTTAGTGAGACAGGAAAAAATTATTGGAAACCAGTTAATGGTTTTGAACTTACCTTAGTTGATTACAAAGAAGTTTGAGAAATGAAAGGTTTCTTTTAGGTGGCTGTTACTATATTATTACTATATGAACTATATTTTATTACAATAATGCTATGTTATTATATTATTAAATTCAGCTGTTATAGCTGAAGATACCTAGTAAGACATCTAAAATAATCACATAAAAATGGCTAATTGACTAACATTTTGATTACTTTGCCACATTTATATTCTTACAGATTAATTAAGAAGAAAAAGGATTAGATGTCCTTTAATAGAGCTGCCCAATATGGTTAATTCAAAAGGAAAGTCATCCTAAGGAGGGAAAGCTAATGTTTTTATTTACACTGCACCTATATTATTTAGAATGTGTCAATGTGCTAGAAATGTAAATGGACATATTTTATTGTTTTCCTCTTTTATTAGTTATTTAAAAATGAAGAATGCTTACTTAATTATCATTTCCTTTTCTGTACTTAGGGTTTTTTTTTTCCCACCCAGATGGGACTTGTACATATTAAGTAATTAGTATAATTCACCCTGAAGCAAAATGACTTATCGAAATTAGTAAATCCTATTGATGGTTTTATAATTGTACTTTTCAGAAAATGAACTTGCTTTAATC